TAACCCACACCTGGTCCATCTGAACCAACACTAACCCACACCTGGTCTATCAGAACCAACACTAACCCAAACCTGGTCCATCAGAACCAACACTAACCCAAACCTGGTCCATCTGAACCAGCACTAACCCACACCTGGTCCATCAGAACCAACACTAACCCACACCTGGTCCATCTGAACCAGCACTAACCCACACCTGATCCATCAGAACCAGCACTAACCCACACCTGGTCCATCAGAACAAACACTAACCCACACCTGGTCCATCAGAACAAACATTAACCCACACCTTTTCCATCAGAACCATCACTAACCCACACCTGGTCCATCAGAACCAACATTAACCTACACCTGTTCCATCAGAACCACCACTAACCCACACTTGGTCCATCAGAACCACCACTAACCCACACCTGGTCCATCAGAACCACCACTAACCCACACCTGTTCCATCTGAACCAACACTAACCCACACTTGGTCCATCAGAACCAGCACTAACCCACACTTGGTCCATCAGAACCAGCACTAACACACACCAGGTCCATCTGAACCCACACCTGGTCCATCAGAACCAGCACTAACCCACACCTGGTTCATCAGAACCAGCACTAACTCACACCTGGTCCATCAGAACCAGCACTAACCCACACCTGACCTCACCTGTTGATTGTTTCTATCAGACTACTGGGGAGACTTCGCCCACAGTCCAGACTTGGAGCTTCACCTGGGAGGTGTGTTCACTTGTCCTCTCGTTAAACGACTGAATGAAATCTGGTTCTGGTTCTGAGTTCAGGTGGTTCTGTGTCTGCAGGGTTAGGTAAACTGGATAACCCGGCTCTGATGCAGCAGTGGTTCCTGCTGGTCCAGCAGAAGAACTCTCTGGTCCGATTTGAGTCCGAGCTCATGATATTGTGAGTCTTGGATCTTTTGGTTGCAGATCTACACAGGTCAGAACTTGTTCAGGTGGGTCAGAACCTGGTTTTGTGTTACAGTGCTCGTGAGCTGGAGCTGGAGGACAGACAGAGTCGGCTGCAGCAGGAGCTCAGAGACAGGATGGCTGTGGACGGTAACTGGACTCAGACCTGATCTTTACAGACACCTGGATTGGTGGTACTGGTACCAGTGGTAGTTACTGGTGTGTGTGACCCTATTTGTGTTGAAGCAGATCACCTGAAGGAGGAGGAGCAGTTGAAGGAAGAGCGCCTCATCCTGCAGGAGATGCTGGAGGTGGTGGAGCAGAGGGACGCGCTCGTGTCTCTGCTGGAGGAGCAGCGGCTTTTGGACCATCAGGAAGACCAGGACCTGGAGCAGGTCTTGATGGCAGGACCGAGACTCGGCTGGACCTGAGAATGGTCTGGAAATCCAGTGGAAGCGGAACCAGAAAGCAGGTCATGGACCTGATGGAGCTGATGCTGAAGGTGACCGGTGATAGCCGAGTGCTAATCGCTTTCAGGAGGTTGTTTCTGAAGGCAGTGGGGCGGTCCAGCTGAGTGATTCTGGACCTGGTTTGTTGTCTAACCTGAACTTTACAAGTTATCAGCTGATCACATGTCTGCCTTATCAATAATCAGTAACAAGTCTCACAAATAAAACCTTTTCTTTTCGTTGCTTTTTGACCTGTTTTTTTTTTTTTATCCAAACTTCTGACGAGTTGAAGATCCGAGAAGTTTTTCACCAGAAGTTTCTTTGGGTTGGTCTTAAAGGGTCAGAACCTCTGAGGTCCTGTTCACACAAATCCTCAAGCTTGAGGGTTTTAATCACGTTAAGGTTCTGGTTCTGACCCGATGGTTTCCTCTAGAGCATGTTGAGTTGAAACCATCGTCCTGGTCTCTGTCCAAGATTTTGTCCCTGTAATTCTGTCCTTTGTCCCTCACCATGAAGCTACCGCCACCACGCTCCACTGGAGACAAGGCAGGAACAGAACCTTGTCTTTAGTGATGAGGCAGTTGCTCCAGTCCCACATGAGCAACACCCTCATCACTAAAGACAAGGTTCTGATCTGTGAGCCCATCTTCTCATCAGTCAGGAACCAGAATTAAAGCTTCAGAATCTTGTCTTTAGTGATGAGGCTGTTGCTCCGGTCCAGAACTGATGGGTAAATGTGGGTGAGCAATTCTTGCTTTAAACTCGCCGGTTCCCGTTTCCAATAATCCAGAACTTTTATTTTCCTCCAAATAAAAAAAAATTAAACATTTTATCATCACCTCGCAGGATGATTTTGAAGAAGTCTGAGGTTTTGGTTCTGGACGGTTTCAGTCGGGGCGTTTTCCTGTTTCTTCACGTTTCAACAGGAAAGTGATGGTGAAACGGGCCGAAAGAGGAACCATCAAACCCACAGCTGCTTCTCAACTGCTCAACAGAACTTCCTGCCCTCTGGAGACCCACGACGACCCGGAACAGGTTCCTGACCCGACTTCAAAGAATCAAAGACAAAACTCTGCGTTCAGCTCCATTTATTTCTGCAGAAAATTATTGGTTCTGGTTCTGTGGCTTAATACTGATCTGATGAGCTGGTTCCCATCTCAAAGACCGGTGGCGCTGCTGGAGTCCACCTTCAGGTCCTTGGCGACCAGTCCGGAGGTAACCGGGTGCATCGCCGCTCGATGAGCCGCAAACACGCGGAGCGATTCGTCCCGGTACTTCTGGAAATGAAAAACCTCCCTGAAGACAAAACAAAACAAGTTACAGAGGTCAGAGGGACGGGACTAACGTCTAGTCAGAGGGACGGGACTAACGTCTGGTCAGAGGGACGGGACTAACGT